AAAGACACAAAAACATCAGAAATAAGAAAGCAGCATAATTACAGATGTGGAAGATGTGGAAGTAATTTTTAGAATGATAAGAGAACATTATTTTTTCTGATTATTTTTTATTGTGCAGTATAGCATAGAAAAATGCTTAAAACAGAAATATGCTTCTCAATGAATTTTTCCAAAGCAAATATCTATGTAGCCTTCATCTAAGATAAGCAATAGAACATTACCAGCCCCTTAGACATCTCCCTCTAATCATTTTTCCTTCCTCCTCCCCAAAAGTAGCCACTACTCTTTCCTTATAGAAATGAAAGGAGACAATGTAATTTTTTTTTATGTTGCCTTGTTTTGTTCAGTACTATTGTATTTTGGAGAAATTCAAACATTATTTTTAAATACATATTATAATTATTGATTTCAGAGAGGAAAGGAGAAGGAAAGAGAGATAAAAACATCAGTACTGAGTGAGAATCATTGATTGTCTGCCTCCTGAGTGCCCTCTATTGGAATCAGTCCCACTCCCAGGCATGTGCCCTGATCTGGAATGGAACCATGACTTCCTGGTTCATAGGTCGCTGCTCAACCATTGAGCCACACCGACCACGCTCAAGCATGTTTTTTAATGTATCAATCATTAGTTCATTGTCATTGCATGTAACTTACTGATTGGATATGCTTCAGTTTATTAATTCAGCCTACTGTTAATGTTCACTTAGCTTGTGTTTTTATTTAATGAATATTCTAATTCATACTCTTAGTATACTAATTTATATTAGAAAGAGTCTAACTCAAGGGTCATAGGGGTTACATGTTTCATTTAGTAAATACTGCTAAATAGGTGTCCAAAGTGGTTTACTAAGTGGTTGCAATATATAAACATTCCCTGCTTTGCTTCCTTGTGAGAACTACTATTTTTCAGTCTGCTAGCTAATCTGAGGAGTTTGTAGTTGTTTCTCATTGTAGTTTCAATTTGTATTTTTCTAATGCCTAAAGAGGTTTATAAATTTTTGTTTTATGAAGTGCCTGTGTAGTCTCTTTTTCCATTTTCTTTTAACAAAAGTTAATAGTAGTTTGACGGTGAGCCCGTGTGCATTATATGTGCTGTAAATATTTTTCTCGCTATATGGCTTTCCTGTTTCCTCTCAATGGTGTCACTGATGAATAGAAATTCATAATTTTATTTGAGCAGTTTAATCAATCTTTTTATCTTGTGTCTTGTTTAAATTTCATACTCCCAAGTTAATGAAGATATTTTTCTCTATTATGTGCCACAAGTTTTTTGTTTTTTATTTACATTTGGATCTGCAACCCATTTGGAAGTGATTATTAAGTATGGCATAATAATGGATGTGGATATCTGGTTGACCTAAGATCAGTCATTTGAAAATACCATCCTTTCTTCAGCTGTCTGCAGTCCAACCTTCCACAAATCAAGTGTCTATATAGGCATGGCTCTTTTCCTTTTGCATTGATTTGTAGGTGTAAGTCCTATACCTATATCACGTTGTGTTAATTAATGTAGTTTTGTAATGAATCTTAACACTGGTTTTATTTCTTCCTTAAGTATTTTGTAGAATTTAGCAATGTGGTGATCTGGGCCTGACATTTTCTTCTTGAGGAGGTTTTCAATTATGAATTTAATGATTTTAACAATCAAAGGCCCACTTAAATTTTCTTTTACTTCTGGAGTCAGTTTTTATAAATTGTATTTTTCTAAGAAATTTTATTGCATTTAAAATTTCAAAGTTATTGATGTACAGTTATTCATAAATAATATCCTTTTATCTTTAGTGTCTATAGTGGTGATGTCCTTTTTTTTCATCCCTGGTTATATGCTCTCCTCCCTCTCTTCCAGCATTTAATCAGTATTGCCAGAGGTTTATTAGCATTATTATTAAATGTTTTCAAAAAAACAACTTTTGTTTTACAATTTGAAATTTGTATATATCTTTTTGGTGATTTGAGCTTTTTGTTGTTAATCCTCACCTGAGGATATTTCTTCCATGACTCTTCAGAGAGAGTATAAGGGAGTGAGAGAAAAAGAGAGAGAGAAAAATCCATGTGAGAGGGACACATTGACTGGTTGCCTCCAGCACACACCCCAACAAGGGGTGGGGAGCAAACTTGCAACCCTTTGGTGCACAGGCCGATGCTTTAACCACACAGCAACACTGACCTGGTGTTTTATAAGGTTAAATTTGAGCCATTTAACCTTATAAAATATGTATGCCTACTACTAATTTTATTATAAATTCTACTTTGTGTTATATTAATGCATCTATACCAGCTTTTTGTTTATTTTTTTTTAGTGTTTATATGGTATACTTTTCCCACACTTGAACATAAACCTTGCTATATTCTTAAATTTCAGATATATATCTTTTCTAAGCAGCCTTTATTTTAATCCAATCTGACACATTTGCCTCTAATTTGAGGGATTTTTTACCCATTCTTTTACTTTCAAGCTGCTTGTATCTTTGAATCTAAAGTTTCTCCTATAGACAACAGATAGTAGGAACATTTTTTTATTAATTCAATCTGACAATCCCAATAAGAGAATATTATTACAAATTTATGTCAATATATTTGAAAATCTAAATAAAGTGGATGCTTTTCTATAAGAAATATATGCACTCCTATGTTCATAGCAGTGCAATTTACAATAGCTAAGATTTGGAAACAGCCTAAGTGCCCATCAGCAGATGAGTGGATAAAAAACTGTGATACATTTACATAATGGAATACTAGGCAGCTGAAAAAAAGAAAGAACTCTTACCATTTTCAACAGCATGGAGGGATCTGGAAGTATTATACTAAGTGAAATAGGCCGGTCAGAGAGAGATAAGTATCACATGACTCACTCATTTATGGAATCTAATGAACAACATAAACTTATGAATAAAAATAGATTCAGAGACATAAAAGCATCTGATTTCTTAGGATATATTCCTAGAAGTGGGATCACCAGGTCAAACGGGAGTTCCATGACTTTCTGTAGCCCTTTAAGTGGTGCCAACCGAAGTCCAGACCTGTGCTTAGCCCCACCCAGCCGTGTGCAATTGTTTACTCTCTCAGTGATTGGTGAATGCATGCACTTACTGAACCTACTCCAGTAAGTATATATTTAAAATTGCAGTAATACATATAGAAAACTTTCCTTTGACATGAAGCTTTTTCATACAGACTGAATTTTGACATAAATATGTCTACATAAATAAAACCAGGTAAACTAATTTGTCAACTTTTTAACATACACATTTGGAAAACCCACTTTATTATATAATAGACTTTCAGCTTTAATAGACCCCCACTCCTCTTGAATTAATTAATTATATTGAGGTTTTACTCTATTTCCTCTACATTAGCTACAAACAGAAAAACTTTTTAAATATACCATTTATAACACTATTTATAAATATACCATTTATAATAGAATACTTTGTTTGTTTTAAATAAGATACCTAGAAGTAGTCTAACAAAGATGTTTTTGGGGAAACTATAAAATATTATTACAAAGCATGAACTAGGACCTAAATAAATGGTGACATGTGTCATATTCATGGCTAGGAGACAGTATCACAAAGATGTCAAATTCCCCAACTTAACCTATATTTTAATGCAATTTCAGTAAAATGCTCAACAGGTTTATTCATGAAAGTTGATAAACTGATCCTACCATGTCCATGGAATAGAAAAGAAAAATGAATAGCCAAGACAGTTTTCAAGAACAACAAGTTGGAGCCACTCTCTGAGACAGCAAGACTTAACTATAAATTCACAGTGGTTAAGACAATGTGGTCTACTAGGAATGGAATGAAATGGCTAGTGTGAGACCCACACATGTATGGGAAAACAGTTATATCAGAAGAGATATTTCAAATCAGTAGATGAAGATGGACTATTCAATTGTATGAATAAAATTGTTTATCTATACAGAAAAACAAAGCATATTTCTACCTCAGATGGAGCACAAAAATATATTTTAGATTCATGGGTTATTATGAAAAACAAAAGTTTACAACTTTTAGAACAGAAGAGAATTTTTTATGACCCAGAATATAGAAGAATATTTTAAACAAGATGAAAAAAAAAAAACATAGAGGAAAACTTTATAAAAGTATTATAAATTAAAAATTAAAAATCAGAAAAAAAATTATAAATTTGGCCACATTGAAATTTAAAATTCATCAAAACATACCAGAAATAAAGCTAAAGAAAAGTTAGCCACAGACTGGAGGAAGGTCTTGTGATGCATATAACTGAAAAAGATTAATAGGAAAAATATAGGAAAAAACCTACAAATAAGACAAATAGCCCATGAGACAAGAATACGAACATGCAAGTCGACAGAAGATGAAATAAAAAATCTCAACACATTAATCATTTTTTAAATAAATTTTACCATTTTATTTTATTTTATTTTATTTTATTTTATTATTTTTTAAATATTTTATTGATTTTACACAGAGAGGAATTGAGAGGGATAGAGAGTTAGAAACGTCGATGAGAGAGAAACATCAACCAGCTGCCTCCTGCACACCCCCCACTGGGGATGTGCCTGCAACCAATGTACAATACATGTGCCCGCAACCAATGTACATGCCCTTTACCGGAATCGAACCTGGGACCCTTCAGTCCCCAGGCTGACGCTCTTCCACTGAGCCAAACCGGCTTCGGCTCAACACATTATTCATTTTAAAACCTAATTAACACAGCAGTGAAATATTTTTTACCCATCACATGAGCAACATTTTTTTTTTAATTCACTAATAGAATTGAAAAATCTAAACACATAGAAACAGGGAAGGCAAAAGTGGTTTCCAGGAGAGGAATAGGAAGAAGTTGGTAAAAGGGTACCAACTTTCGATTTTAAGGTGAATAAGGTCTAAGGATCTGATGTGACTCATGGTGACTATAGTGATAATACTGTGTTGCAAGGAGCCGGGGAAGGGGCCAGAGCTGTGGGCTTGAATCCATGGGTGTTGGGTTCTCTCGCCTCTCTGCCCCAGGTGCGCCACTGGGGAGGCATGGCAGGACATCATGCTGGCCTGCATGCCAGGGAAGAAGTGCGCCCCCGAGTCCGAGCCCCACAACAGCACGGAAGGGGAGGCGCCCTGTGGCAGCAGCTTCGCCGTCTTCTACTTCATCAGCTTCTACATGCTCTGTGCCTTCCTGGTAAGCTGAGGTTGGGCCAAATAGTCACAGGGAATGAGTGAGGAGGTCGGGATAGCATGAGCCTGCCATCTCCGCAGCTCACGGCCAGGGCGATCCCCGCAGAAGAGCTGCCGCGGAGAGACTGAGTTAGTAGGAATGTCCAACCACACTGAGACAAGGACAGAAAGCCAGAGCCAGAGTGTCCGCAGCCAGCACACTCTTGTCCATTCTTGGCTCTTGTCGTGGTGGCATTGTCCCAGAGGACAGAGGAGGTGCCTGTGGAGGCCTAGAAGCAATTTTTGACCCTTTGGAGAATGGGGTAAAGGTGTAGATAAAGTTGCCCTCTCTCCTTGGCAGCCCTGCCCAGCAGCCTAGGAGGGAAGCTGTCCAGCCCACAAGTGGGTTCAGCGCACACAATTCTGAGGGGAACTGTGTCATGATCATATCCAAGAGGCCCAAGTTTCAGGGACTGGTGGTGTAAATGGTGACACATGGCTGGTCTTTAGAAATGTCAGCTTCTGCCGTGCTGGCAAAGCGGATTCAAGTGGCAGGTGTGTAAGAAGGTCCTCTTAGGCAGCTCATCATACTCGCTGTTCTCTGCAGATTATCAACCTCTTTGTAGCTGTCATCATGGACAACTTTGACTACCTGACAAGGGACTGGTCAATCCTTGGTCCCCACCATTTGGACGAATTTAAAAGAATCTGGGCAGAATATGACCCCGAAGCCAAGTAAGTTCCCAGGCGGAAATTCTGAGCCCCAAAGCCAAGAGGGAGGATTGCACAGCTATACCTACAGAAGAGGGTCAAGACGGGTTAGCGTGGGGTGGGTCCACTGGAAACACTGAATTGTGCCAGACCCCAGGGTCAAGGGTCAAGGACCAGCAGTAGGAAGCCAGGCATTTTGATTAAGTCATGAACATATCTGCAATTTGCAGTTGAATGGAAAGATAGGAGATCCTTGTGTTTGGTACTGGTAGGTACTCAAGTTAGGATGAATAGGACCAGGTACATCTCAACTCCTTTCCTGCCTCAAGTCCAAGGATACCCTTGTCAATCAATCATGTTTGGTTGGCACCCAATAAGTACCTTTTGGTTAGTTGACTGAAGCAGCAAATACATGTTGAGAACTTCATTGCACTGCTAAACTCTTCCATTTTGAACATTCACCACTGGATGGCTCACTGAAATCTAAACATGTATACATTGGTTTTGGAGTTTTGCCATGCAGTTCTGCAGCTCTGCACTGAGTTTGACCAAAAGGGCTCCAGATATGGAGAGTCCCTCCTATAGTGATAATGCTGTGTTGGGGCTCACCTCTCAGGAACATGAGTCCTGGCCCGCTGGCTGAGACCATGGCTCCTGACTGACCTTTCCCTCCTCTTTTTCCTCCGCTAGGGGTCGTATCAAACACCTGGATGTGGTGACCCTGCTCCGGCGGATTCAGCCCCCACTGGGTTTTGGGAAGCTGTGCCCTCACCGTGTGGCTTGCAAAGTAAGAGACAACCTGGGTTCATGGGAGGAAGAGAGAAAATAGGAGAGAAAGATGCCTTGTAACCTTGGTCAGGCCAACACTTTAAGGAAGTAAAGACAGTATTTTATGTGCCTAGAGAAATGAGCCTGAGCCAGGTTATATTTTAAGGTTCCTTCCAGCAATAAGTTCTCAGCCTCTATAAAGGAAAAGCGAAGTGAAGGCCTCATGTCCCAGTGAGCCCTGTGCCCCATCCTGAGTAAAGGCCCTTGTTCAGAGCACACTGTGCCATTGAGGCAACCTCACAGACTTCCATCTAGGACGGTGGGTTAGGGTGCTCTCCTAGGATCACAGGGCCAATGGAAGGTCCATGTGTCAGCTTCAGGGATCCATGAGGCCCTAAAATTGTATATGAAGTCACTGAGACACTCACAAATAGTACAGGGAGAGACTCCATCGTGCTCATAAGATTTCTAAGTGAGTCCATGATGTTTAGGACAGACATCCTAGGTTCTGTTAGCCCCGACTCTTGCCTATGTAGCCCTTGCAAGACCCTGAGAGTGAGCGCTCCTTTAATTCACTAGCTTTCTATCTTGTGCCCTCTCTTGCCTCACTGGAATCCACCGTGTCATCTCTTGCCACCATGTAGCCCAGCACTTGCTGAAGAGCCTAGTTTCCACTCTCTCCCGTCTTTCTTTAATTCTCATGCTTACCCTTCTGGATTCCATGTTGAAATAGTGACAGATTGAAAAGAGATTGGGGGAAGTGATGTCAGAGAACTGTACAGAGGAAGAAACACAAGTAGAAAAATTCAGCTCTGTGGGTAATTCACTCATAGAAAATGAGAATTGACAGAATATTGAACTTTCTACTTGTGCTCTCTTTTACTCAGTTTTTCCTCACTTGTACCTCCACTTCATTAAAAAAAAAAAATTTAGAAGATTTCCAAGGGTGTAAAAGATATGAGAAACAAAGAGCACAAATTAAATGTCAGTGAAGCATAGAGGGAAACAAGGGTGGCAATGAGTGAGGCTGCAGTGTCCATCGGGGCCTCCAGATGGGCCTGCCCTGGCTGCGGTGGAGCTGGCACTTCCCAGAGACTGAGGAGAAGTCACTCAGAGTAATTATACCCCTTCTCGGCACTACGATTGATAGTAGGACACCATGTGATCTAACAAATAATACCCTGAGAGCAGATGCCAGAATGAATTTCATGGTTCCTTTTCTCACAATGACCTGGTATATGCGGAGGGCCCCACACTGAGCACAGTGCCAGGCAGCAGTGTTGGGTAGGGAAGGAGGGGAGAGGGCAACCCAACCCTGTCCAGTGTCAGCAAGCCTCTGATCCAGCCTGATGTAGAGGTAGATTTTCAATATACAGAAAAGGGACAAGTGCCTCTCCTGCAAGCATCCTCCGTTGTTGTCTCTCTGATCAGGGCGTTAGATGAATGTGGGTTGGCAAGTGGCTCCCAGCAAATGCCTGTGCACAGCTGTTCTCTGTTGCCAGGCGAGAGCACCACAAATGCATGCGCAGCATTTGAATGGAGAAGAGGTTGGAAGCAAGGATCTAATAGGGCCAACTTCCATCCCTCCCTCACTCTGTGCAGCTGGGTGAGGGTATCTGTGGCAGAGCCAAGATTCTCCCAGAACAGGTTTTGAATGCATTTCAGTGGCTGCTGCTTCTACATGCCAGCCCACTCCAGACACATGCACACATGTTTAGAGGCTCCCTCCCAGTCTTCTCCTGCCCTGGTGGTTCTGTGGGTCCTTTGAGAATCGTTTACTGTAATCACCAGCTCTGTCTTCCCTTCCCCTCCAGCGTCTGGTCTCCATGAATATGCCTCTGAACAGTGATGGGACGGTCATGTTCAATGCCACCCTATTTGCCCTGGTTCGGACAGCCCTGAGGATCAAAACAGAAGGTAAAAATCACCCACATGCACCGAAAGAGCCACCAGAAGACCCAGCATAGCAGCCGGAGAGGCGGTCAGCACCTGCAGAGGCCCAGGACCTTCCCGTCCTGCGTGGAGCTGTGGCTCAGCAATAACTCCTCCACGGGGTTATAAACAGGCCTCCTTCTGTTTCCTTTGCCTCTTCAATGGCCTCTAGCCTATTTATTTTGAGCTCTAGCTTTCCATCTTGAAGTCATAGGGTAGAGTTCAAACAGCAGAAAAAGATGAGTGTTACTTGAAGCAAGAGCAAGCCTCACCTAAATGAAGGCTGTAAATGGGCCTCTCAAATGTTCAACATTCTTTTTAAGTTAAAAAGATCTGTGTGGGCCCTGGCTGGGTAGCTCAGCTGGTTAGAGAGTTGTCTTGATATGTGAAGATTGCAGGTTCGATCCCCGGTCAGAGCACATACAAGAATCAATCAGGGCCTGGCCGGCATGGTTCAGTGGTTGAGCATCAACCCATGAACCAGGAGGTCACAGTTTGATTCCTGTTCGGGGCACATGCCCAGGTTTGGAGCTTGATCCCTGGCATGTGGAGGCAGCTGATTGGTGATTCTCTCATTAGTGATGTTTCTATTTCTTTCTCTCTCTCCCTCTCTCTCTTACTCTCTCTCTGAAATCAATTAAAGAATATTTCTTAAAGGAATCAATCAGGGCACATACCTAGCTTGTATGTTTTATCCCCAGGGTGGCATGTGCTGGAGGCAACTGATAATGTTTCTCACATCAATCTCCCGCTCTCTCCCCTCCCCCCCATCTTCTTACCTCCCCTCTAAATATATATATATATATATATAATTTTTAAAAACATATCCTTAGGTGAAGGAAAAAAAAAAAAAAAGCCCAAAAGCCCTGTGTGGGGAAGGGATCATAGTGGCAAACAGCGACTGTGGTTGAAGTCATCACACATAGCGGCCATAGGGCTCAGCCAGCTCCCTGGGAGGGTTCAGATCTCACCTGTGCTCCACTAGGTAGGCCACGCCCCCTGGGCCCGTGACCACATGGAGGGACACCTTCTTCTAGTTTGCACAAAAGCACCCTGTGGGCTGCAGCCGCTTTGGCTGCAGTAATCGGCTGTCTGTGTCATTGATACGTTTTCCTGAAGCACTCTGCGGAAAAGGCTATGTGGAATGTACCTAAGAGTTGTATTTGCTGTAAGACCTTCTAGCCTATTGTATAGTGTTTCCCAGAGAGTGAACAAAAACCACCTGCCTCAGATTCAACTCCTGGAGTTTGTTTAAAATACTGAGTCCTATGTGCCCACCCTGATCTCCAAATCTGAGGCTCAGAGCAGGCTTGGGTATCTGCACGTTCTACCCACCACATTAGAATTCAGACAGGAAGTGAAGTTTGAAACCCTCACACAGAGAACAAAGAGAGCACGGAGAGAAGCAGCGTCTTCTTTCCCTCCTCGTGCTTCGGTCGGAGAGGTGCGGGCTGCCGGCGACGCGTCCTGGGTGCAGCAAAAGGAGCTGGCAGGGAGAGGGAGACCTGGCTCAGATCACACCTGTGATAAGTTGTGTGTTCTCTCTCCACTTAAACTTCTTCATTGTCAAATAGGAGGGGCAATGGGCGATATGAGGGGAGTCACTTCAGTGAGTATCTCAGAGAGGTGCCTTCTCTCTGTTAAAGCCTTCCAGAAAATAATAGGAACATCCTAAATTAAAGAAAACAAAAACAGGCCATCAAAATGCATTTCACAATAATGAGCTAATCTTTAAAAATGGTTCAAGTTCTGCTAAACTAAAAAGAAACAACGAATATACTCTCAGTAGCCAATGCAATAACTCAATCTGAAATGGATGTGAGTAGGCCTGTTCTTCACACTGGGCCAACTGAGCACACATTTAATGCACTGTGTGAACATAGCAAGGAGGAAAACTGGAAGGACATTTATTATGTTAACGATTATTCCTGAGTCGGATAATGAGCAGTGATTTTTACCTTCTTCCTTTACTTCTGTTACTTTCCAAATTTTTTCAATGACTATTAATGACTATTACCTCCAGGAGGAAAGGCTTCCTTCCCGAAGGGAGAAGATGTAATGACTGTGAGAAGGAGTACTGTGCAGTACTTTCAGCTTGAGGAAAAACATTTTCATTCCTTGGAGGACTAAATAGTGCTGGTGCACGGAGGCCAAGAGTGCTCACTGTTGAAGATACGCGTCAGCACAAACCAAACACCAGCTAAAGAATACCCACCACTGCTGACAGCGCCAAAGGCCACTCCAAATACCCAGGACTCAAGGCCAGGCTCCAGGAAATGAGCGCTCGGGGGCGGGAGAAGCCAGCCACATGGGAACTGCAGTCAGCAATTAAAGGAAACTTGACACACCAATACATTTATCTTACTGCATAGCATGTACCTATGGCTCACAGCACTGTCTTGTATGCTTAAAATTCTGTCTGGTGAGTAGATCTCACGTTAAGTTTTCTTACCATAATAACATGAAATTTGGAGAAAAAAATACACACAAAGGGATAGCTACTAAAGAGCCCACGGTGCCAGCTCAGGGGCAAACCTTTATCAGAGACAAACCCTCCCCCAAAGTGTTCATCTCCTAAGTCTAGAAGACAAAGGCGAGTTCTTAGAAGCCACCAGAAAGAAATGTGAGAAAGCATCTCAATTTGTGAGGATAAAGTCTTCACCAGTCATTACCCTTCAGACTTTTGAGCATGGAAGGAATTGGACAGAAATAAACACCTTCTTCTGAGAACCAGTCCCAAGCCGCACAAAACATTGGGATGCAGAAGGAAGATCTGTTTAAATACTTAGATGATGGGTAACAACTGTTAGTGATGTTCCCCAGGTACACGGCTAATCATGAGAATAAACTGAGGCCTGAAGAAAAGTTAAGAGTTCTTTTGGAAGGTGGCAGGCTGTAGCAGACGGACAGAAGTGTTTCCTCTCACAGTTCAGGTGGCCAGAAGTCCAAAGTCAACGTATCAGCGGGGGCCCTGCTGGCTCTGAGGGGGAGCTGTCCATGCCTCTCTCCTGGCTCCTGGTGGCGGCCTCACTCCATCTCTGCATCCGTCCTCTCCTGGCCTTCTTCCCTGTGTGTCTCCGCATCTGATAAGACACCATCACATGGGATTTGGGGCCCACCTAATGAGTACAACCTCATCTTAACTAATCACATCTGCAAAGACTGTTTCCAACTAAGGTCATATGCCAAGGTTCCATGTGGACATGAATTTGTAGGGAACACTATTTAACCCTCTACATAAGATAAATATATTTGAGCATTGCATTAATTTGGACTCTTAGATTGCATATGTCAGAAACCACTTGCTACCTTACCAGGAAGGGAGCATAACCACACAGGACTCCCTCCACAACTAGAATGCCAAGTCTGCCCTTTGGCTCAGGTGCTGTTTGGACCAACGTTCTCACAGGGGATTCAGGTGTCCGCCACTCTCCTTGCCACCTCTGCTTGCTCCTGTTGGGCTTCCTTCCAAAGGAGCTTCTTGGCAGGGCCACAGGGCGGATTCCAGCACAGGCAGCCTGACCAGCTCTGGTCCCTGCTGCCTCTCTGTGGAGTAGCACTAAGCAATTCAGAGCACAGTCCTCGCTTTATTGCTCTTTGCAGATAGGGCAAGACCCTCTGCCAGCAAAAGGATTAGGACTTGCTGAAGGCTCAGCTGATGAGTACCATTTTTTAGCAATATTTTTTTGTTAAGATATTTACATTGTTTATATAGACACCAGAGGCCTGGTACACAAATTCATGAACTGGTGAGGTTCTCTCAGCCTGGCTGGCAATCAGGCCAATAAGGGCTGTCTCACCCAGTCCCAAAGGGGGCTGGTGGGGGGGAGGGACCACGGGAGGTTGGCTGTGAGAACTCACTGACCACCAGGGGGAGCTCCTGCATTGAGCGTCTGCCCCCTGGTGGTCACTGTGCACCATAGCTACTGGTCAGTCATCTGGTCATAACAATCACTTAGGCTTTTATATATAGAGATAATGCTATTGTACAATCCATAAACTACAGTATAGTATAAACATGATGTTTGTATGCACTGGGAAACCAAAACCATTGTGACTGACTTAATTGCAACATTCGTTTTATTGCGGTGGTCTAAAACATAATATCATAGAGGTCTGCCAGTATTGGTTTCCTATCGCTGCATAAACAATTACCACACATTTCTTATCTTAAACAACACCCAGGTATTGGCTCCCAGTTTTGTAGGTAGCAGAGGAGCCATGGGGTAGCTGAGTTCTGTGCTCAGGGCCTTACAAGGCCAACAGGATATTGGTCAGGGTGTGTCCTCTCCCAGAGGCTCCAGGGAAGAGCCTCCTTCCAGCTCATCCAGGTTGTTGGCAGGATTCATTTCTTGCAGTTGCAGGGTTGGCTCTCTGCTGGGACCACTCAGCCCCAGAGGCTGCCTCTCTCAGTTCAGTTCATAACACAGGTGCCCATGCCCAGAGGCTGCCTCTCTCAGTTCAGTTCATAACACAGGTGCCCATCTTCCCGGCCCATGCCACCATCTCTCTCACTCCTGCTCCCAGCTGGAGAGAACTCGCTACTTCCACCTTTTGACCCCCTTCATATATTTATTTTTTGTTTGTTTTGTTTTTTATTGAGGTACAATTGACATATAACATTATAACAGTTTTAGGTATACAACTTAGTGATTTGATATTTGTATATATTGTAAAATGATCACACAATAATGCTAGTTAACATTCATTACCATGTATAGTTATAATATTTTTCTTGTGATGATAACTGTTTTTTAATCCTCACCTGAGACTATGTTAATTGATAAGAGAGAGAGAGAGACATTGATTGGTTGCCTCCCATATGCACCTCAACCACAGACCAAACCCGCAACCTAGGTCTGTACCTTGACTGGGAATTGAACCCACAACCTTTTGATGTACAGGATGATGTTCCAACTAATTGAGCCACCCATCCAGGGCTTGTAATGAGAATTTTTAAAATCTACTTTCTTAGGAACTTTTAAATTGCAATACAGTATTAACTGTACATTATATTCCCAGGACTTACTTATTTTATACTGGAAGTTTGTACCTGAGAACTCTCTACCGTTGAAGAGCTCATGTGATTAGGACAGGCTCACCTAGATAACCTCCCCATCTTAGGGTCATATGTGCCATGTAATATAACCTACTCACAGGGTGAAATCTGTTCTGGTCACAGACCAGGGATTGTGCCGGAGTGCATAGATCAGTGGTGGTGGGAGGAAGGTTGGAGACATCTTCCATCCTGTCTTATGGCTGCAGGTCTCAGCTTTCCTCTCATATGGCAAGAAGGCCGTTATCCCAGAGGCTGCATGGGGTAGGCCCCTCATTACCCTGTTTTGCCAGTGGAGAAAGGAGATCCAAAGGACTCAGTGTCTTCCGATTTCTGCCTCCACACTGAGACTGTGCCATCTGCTCCCCTCAGGAGACTCAAAAAAGGCTTTGACACTGGGGAGACTGCTCTTCTTCCAATCACCCCTGTCTCCCTGGTAACCATGGGGGCCCTGAGAAATGCCATCCAGGAAGAGCCCCTGTGCTCTCCCGCCAGATGGCTGTTGAGCATTGTCCAGCACCAGCAGCCTTGTCAGTCCTAAGTGCTGCCCACAGGGAAAAGCAGTGTGTGAGGTGAAGGGTCACCTTGGCTGGCTGAGTAGCAGACTGAGAAGGAATGGCATTGGACAGGGCACAAGACAGGGGAGAAAGAAAGAAGAAATAAGGGATCAGGACCATCTGTGGGCATTGATGCTGAGGGCATACCCCAGGGGGACCTCCAAGGGTCGGATGATCATTTCAGCCTTGTGTCTGCCTCCGTCCCCTCAGGAAACCTGGAACAAGCCAATGAGGAGCTGCGGGCCATAATCAAAAAGATCTGGAAGCGAACCAGCATGAAGCTGCTGGACCAAGTGGTGCCCCCCGCGGGTGGTAAGTGCTTCCCCGTCTCCGCACGCTCACCACTTGCCTGGTTCTTGAGTTGCCAGGCTTGTGGGAAGCCCGTTACCCCTGGACCCTGCCTGTGGGTTGAAAGGCCCTCCTGGTTAGAAAGGACAGGATGCCACGCCCTCCACAAAGGCAGATACAGGCCGTCGGGTTGGAGATCGAGTCCAGTCCTGCATTTCGCAGATGAAGTCAGACAAGGCCTCTCCAAGCTTGAGGTTTGGCAGAACTTCAAGGAAACTTTTGGTTTCTCCCATAAACCCCCAGGCTGATGGCTCTAGTCATAAATGGGCCCGGAGAGCGCCTTCTGGTGGGAGCTGTTTGTGTCCTTCCCAGGGCATGTTGCTTAGCACTGTGCACCCACAGCCCCTACTGCTGTCCTGAGTCATAGGGAAAACAGCCTTACCACACATGTAATTTCCAAAATATTAATAGAACACTTTACTTAATATAAGATGTATTGAAATCTAATGGCTTTCAATAGATAAAGTTATAACTAAGTGAAGAAATGCTTGTATGCACTCACGTATAATGAATAAGTGTTTAAAGGAAGTAAGATGATTAAATATTGTCAACATCTTGTTTTTGTCATTTTGAAGTAAGGGCTAAGTATATTTAAACAACTTTACATACACACATATGTGCACATACACCTACGTATATGCACATGCAAAGAACACATGGCTGCTGAGACAGGCAGGTCAACGAAAGCGGGGGACTCAGATTCCATCGGGGCAGGGGAAACAGAGTTTTCTGTCAACTTACCAAGCAGTTATGTTCCTGGAAAATTCTGGATATATTAAAACTATGTAAAATGAATTTAGGTTCTTAGCTTGGATAATTATAAGCAGGTTGTCCCCGACATGGATGTCCTATCATAACAGTTGAAAGAGTATGAAGCTGTTATTTATTGTGCAAAACACGTCTGTGCTTTAAGGGCCACACCTAGAGCCATTTAGTACAAGTAGCACCCAAATCACCGTGTCAACTGAAAACGACCCGCAGCCTCAACACACTTTTAACAGGTGACACCCACCCCTGTTGAGAGCCACTTCCTGGAGGGAAGGCAGGACCGGGACTAAGTGGGGTCACAGAGATGGACGGGCGGCACCTGACAGCTCACATGCAGTATTTTATTTCCTCCTTATAACGTTTCTATGAAGTTTGCTCAAAGAATCAAAGTTCTTAGAAACTAGGGAGCTGGCCCAAGGCTACAGTGTGAGGACCTAGCAGATTTGGGATTTGAACCCAGGTCTGAGGGACGCCAGAGCGCCAAGCTCTTTCCCCTGCAACACTTCCTCCCCAACCACCCTGGATAGGGGCTTAGGGTCTTTCCTTCCAATGGGGATGAGGCCCTTGCCAGGGCGAAGGCCATCGCTGCTGTGGATTTGGCTCCTCTTTGAAGACAACTAGAAGCAGGAGAACCATCACTATCCCTTAGATCTGACCCAACCAGCTGACTCCCAGGCCCATGCCCTGTCCTTCGCAGAGACCTGAGAAGTGGAGCAAAGGGGCTCCTTATAGGGCATAACATATTCTCATTGGAGACTTACAGGCTTCTCCATCACATGGTTCATTCCCAAGACAGAGACTCACTCAACCCACTCTGTCTGGTTGAAAGAAAAAACCCTGAACTTACACAGGAGGAAGGTGCCCCTTCCACCACCCCTCCTACTCACTCACCTTTAAGCAGAACCAAGTTTGCACTTAGGGGACTGGTTGATGGGGGTCTCAAGCTTCGGAATCAAATGAGAGAACATTAGCAATGTCAGCTGCTCAGTAAACAGAGCAAGGTGGGAAATAATTTTAACAATATGGTATTTTTCTTTTAATGAGGGGGGCAATAAGAATATATTGCTCATTTACAGATAGCATTTGCATAAAGAATCTTTGCAAAAATATTCAAGAAACTAATAAAAAGCTTATCTATTAGGAGGTGGTAACTTCACAGATGGGAACAGTGGGAAAGAGACTTTTCACTATACAGTTTTTACATAATTTTGTCTTTTTGAACCATGTGAATGTACTATCTCTTTAAAATATAAATTGAAAAATTTTTTAAGTTTGGATGCTGAAAAATCTATACTAATAAAAGGGTAATATGCTAATTAGACCAGACAGACATCCTTCCGAACAAAGCCATGGTGGCGGGGCCAAGGCAGAGACAGTTAGGAGTGATCAGGCCAGCAGGGGAGAGCAGTTCGAGTGATCAGCCCGCAGGTGAACGGTTAGGAGCCAGCAATCCCAGATTGCAAGAGGGATGTCCAACTGCTGGTTTAGGCCCAATCCCGCAGGGGGGTCCCGGATTAAAGAGGGTGCATACTGGGCTGAGGGACACCCGCCCACACACACATGAATTTCATGCACCAGGCCTCTAGTAAATTAATAAAGTCCAACTGAATTCCCTTTGTTCATCTCCAATTCCCTGTTCTCTCTTTGAATGTCAGATGATGAGGTCACAGTCGGCAAGTTTTATGCTACTTTCCTGATCCAAGAGTACTTCAGGAAATTCAAGAAGCGCAAAGAGCAAGGCCTCGTGGGCAAGCCCTCCCAGAGGAACGCCTTGTCCCTACAGGTGAGGGGCGAGTGGGGCCACACCCCAAGGAAAGGCCTGGTCACCTTCCTCTGATCTCTGGCCAGGGTCCAAGTCTCTCACCAGTGGGGTGGAGGCCAGGTCCCTTCAGAAGGTAGATGTGTGAAGGGAACATAGTCCTTTTCCTCCGGGTTCTCTCCACACACACTGCCTGCCACAGTCCTGCCTGCTCCTCAGTGCTCGGGCTCTCTGGGGAAGGGCTGAGGTTCCCTGGCAGCCCCTGCTACTGCGCCTTCATCTCTCCTGGGTACGAGCCTGGGTCTTCCACTCGGAGCCCCGGTTAGCACACACAGGGTGCCTTCTGGGGCCCCCTGCCTGGTGGAGACTCGGCGGGTGAGGGGCTGGGCGGGGAGCGCTGGGCTCACGCGTCCCTCTGGCTTCCAGGCTGGCTTGCGCACGCTGCACGACATCGGGCCCGAGATCCGACGGGCCATCTCCGGAGACCTGACAGCCGAGGAGGAACTAGACAAAGCCATGAAGGAGGCTGTGTCTGCCGCCTCTGAGGACGACATCTTCAGGGTAGGTGGCTGCTCAGCAGCACCCCCCCACACCTTAATCAGGTTCCGTTGAAGCAGGAGGGTGGACGGGTGTCCTGCTGAGAAAACGCAGGGAGAAAGGCCCGAGTTCCGTGGCAGATCCCAGCTCTTCCCACCAGCCATGTCCTCCCCTCCCCTTTTCCAAGCCCAGCTCCCTCTCACGCCAGGGCTCCCAGCACCTGGCAGCTCTGAGGGCATCGCGGGCTCTGGGAGGAGAAGGAAGGATCCGTTTTCTGAGGGAGATGTTTCCAAGGAGAAAGTACATTAGAAGCTGCAAAGTGATGGCCGTTGGGCCACAGCTAATCTGCAGGCCCATTCAGTTTGCCCACATTTGAAAATGGGGCCCATTCAAATAAACATCTAGACTTCTGGCTTCTCTTTAAAGCATGTGAAGCTCTGTCGGTGTTGGCCTGTGACCCGCCTACTCCACCCCCACCCCAGCCATGGCAGCAGAGGGCTGGAGCCAGTGGCAGTGTCCCCTAGATGGGACATGTGTTCTCCAGGTCACAGGGTCCCTCCAGCCTCGCCCTTCCTCCGCTGGGCCGGAGGCTGAGCTTCAGTGTTCACAGTAGAAACGGAACATGACGGGAACGCTTGGGTTCTTACAGCCAGCTCTCTCCGTCCATCTGTGGGACCTGCCTAATCCCCAAGGCATCTAGCTGGGTTTAGCTCCAGCCAGGGCCAGCTCACATTGTCCCTCCCAGCCCGGTGCCCGGGTCCCCAGGCTGTGGACACAGGGAGGCGAGAGGAAGCGGTCCTCCTTGTAGCTGTCCTGTCATCACATCCTCATTCTCATCACTGCGTAGCCTTTGTTACTGAATGGCCAGCAGCAGGTTAACACGGCCCTGCCCAGCCTTGCCCATAGCTGCTTGCCCACTTGCCCAGCACAAGGGAAGAATGCTGGGGAAGAACCCGCTTCCAGATCTGAAATCTCTAAGACCCTCCCATAGGAAAAGAGGCCATAATATAATAGAGGTAGTAAATCCGTACCTTTATTTTTAAAGCTGGCAGTGGGGCCACGCGCGAGGCTGACCTCCTGGGTGTGGGGCCGTGCGTGAGGCTAACACGGTTTCTGGCCCAGGGAGCCCATTGGAGTTCCATTTTGTAAATCTCATTGGAGCCTCTGGCCCTTCCCGCCCCGCAGACCTCGCTGCCTCAGCTGCCACATCCCGCAGGTGCCGGGGAGGCTGGGCGCCCTAGACACGTCCTTGAACCTCAACCCCAGCCTTCCGCAGGCTCCTTAGAAACTCCCAGGACAGCGGCTTCCCAGCCTGGCTGGCTCCCACAGGATGTCCTGTCCCTTGCTGTTCCCCCAGCCCTTCCAGGGGGGACTGAGGGGCCCCTGCCACTCCAGCTGCCAGGCCACGTGTGTGAAGAATCCCCGCGTGGCTCTGCTCTCGGAGGGCAGACAAATTTCCTCGCTTGAGGTGTCTGCGGGGGAGAGGCTGCTGTGGAGATGTTCTCTTCCACCCACCCCTCCTGTCTTGCCTGCAGAGAGCCGGTGGCCTGTTCGGCAACCACGTCAGCTACTACCAAAGCGACAGCCGGAGCACCTTCCCCCAGACCTTCACCACCCAGCGCCCGCTGCACATCAACAAGGCCACCAACAGCCCCGGCGGCACCGAGTCCCCGTCCCACGAGAAGCTGGTGGACTCCACCTTCACCCCCAGCAGCTACTCATCCACCGGCTCCAATGCCAACATCAACAACGCCAACAACACTGCCCTGGGCCGCTTTCCCCGCCCCTCCCGCTACCCTGGCTCCGTCAGCGCCGTGGAGGGCCACGGGCCCCCCTTGTCTCCCGCCATCCGGGTGCAGGAGGCGGCATGGAAGCTCAGCTCCAGGAGGTAGGCAGGAGGGCGGGGCGCCCAGGACCCTGCAGGGGCCTCACACACCCCAGCTCAGAAGGGTGGGGAGGAGAGTCTGGCCCCAGGCCTGCACTCACCCCTCACGCTGAGGTGGAGGCTGCTGCCCTGGGATCCAGGGAGAGAGCAGGCTGCAGGCCGCCTCCCAGGTCCTGCCCTTGACTGCAGGCTTAGGGAAGGCGCGTGGCCCCACTGCCAGCAAGCGTCCTGAGGAGCACACCTCCGGCAGAGCCTGCTCTGTGCTCTGGGCCTGGCCCGCCCATGCAGAGGCCCTGGCCACTCAGCCCCAAGATGCTTGCATCCTGGCTACACTACAGACACCGTTCCCCAAGTGGAAGGGGAACAAAGTTACCACCTCCTCTTTCTACCCCTCTCACCGCCCTCCCAGGGATGGGCCTCTCAGTGGCAGGAGGCCCTTCGCTGTAGCAGTTGCCCAGGGCAGCGTCATTCCTGGTCTTGGCTGCTCCTCCCACCTCCTGACCGGCTCTTTCTCCCTGTGCTCTGCCCCCTGGTGCTCCAGGCGCAGTGCTGGGAGAGCCTGCTCCCTGCTGCTGTGCTCTGGGCCTCCGGGAGCACCGCCTGGCCCAGAGGGTCTGCCTGTCTGTGCCGGAAGCTCCGGCTCCCCAGGCCGGTGGGCGAGGCCGCACATCTGCACCCGGCCCCCTCACCCTTATCTGCACCGCTCCCCCGGAGCAGGGCGGCAGATCCCAGCGTGCCCGGTCCTTGGGCCAGCCTCCTTTTCTGCCCTTGAGCTGAGAAAAATTGTAAAGTCCCATCATCTTTCTCAACCCATGGGCACGTGTCCTGAGCTGCTGTCCTTCAAGGAACCAGTGGCACAAGTGTATGTCCACGTGGCCTATCACTGACCAGTGTCTGATGGCAGACAAGTCAGGCTGGCCACCCGTCTGCATTGCTGCCTACGGTTAGCTGGCTCGCCACCCAAGCAGTGCTGGGCGAGTCCTGCCCACTCACACTGATGCCTCCTGGGTGCAGGCTGTGAGCCCCCATTTGGTGTGCTGATCAGAAAGGCTGGTTTGCACAGGAGGATGTCAGGGACCAGGTGGCTGGCCCACGCCTGTCTTGGCGGCCCCTCCCTTTCCTGCAGCCCGCCCCCCTTTCTGTGTCCTTCAGTGACTCAATCCGAGTACCTGCTTCTCCCTGCTCCCCTGTCCTCCTCAGGAAGGCGTGCTGTGTTCATCACCAGCGCCTCCGTGTAAATAACGCCCCCTCCAAAGGAAATTTCCATGTAAGGCTTTGTTCTGTGTTCAGAAAGGAAGGTAAAAACCATTCTAGAGAGGAGGCAGGGAGGGACATTGGGGACTTCTTCCTCTCCCCACAGATCCGTTAGTGACACAGGGTTCAGGCAAGGCACCTAGCACATAGTAAGCGCTTCCTAAATGTCAGCGCCACCTCCAGTTACAGTATGGAAATCAGCGCTCAGGGCAGTAACTTTCAAACTGCGAAGAGGCACAACTTAACCAAAGATCCAGCTCTGGGACCCTGTCCTTTGTGTCACAGCTCAGGGCTGCGGTGGCTCCGGCACTGGCCTTGCCTTTGCTGGGGACAGACCAGCACACCTCGCACACAGGGCCCCCGAGGGGTGATGTTGCCTGCCTGCTGCCATTCCCCGTGTCCAGCACATCCTGTGTCCCTCTCTTCCCACCCCATCCAGAGCCTGGGGCTGTGGGGTGGGCAGCCACCGGTGAGGGCCTCACCCAGACAATGGCCCTGACCCTTCTGAGTGGCGCTCAGTGTCAGGGCCAGAGCTGGGCCCAGCACTCAGTGTGAGAGGTTGAAGGGGGATGTTTCTCTGACGCCTCATGAGTCTGAGGATAACGTGGGCCCTGGATCTCTGGATCTAGAGAAAGAATGATGGAGGGGCTACTGGCCCGGCACAGGCAGGAAAGGGGAGCTCAGGAAGGCGGAAGGCGTGAGCAGGTGAGCAGAAGACCGGCGGAGGGAAGGGGTAGAATCCCAGGCAGGGATGTGTGCTGACCGGCTCCATGGAGACTCAGCTCATAGGGCCTCAGGGCCCTCACCCTGCTTAGGAGAACAAAGCCTCGAGCTGAGCCTTCCTCTCCGCGCCTTCACTCCAGGGAGCCAGCGCCAAACAGGACACCAGGACCTCTCAGCTCTGCCCACCCAATGCCCGAAGGCCCGCCTGCCTGTCGTGTAGGAAAGAGGCAGCCCACTCAGCGGCCCCCACCCTGTCAGGGCAGCCAGGACACTGCCTTAAAGGCGGATCCTCTCCTCCTTTCTGAGCACCATCTGGTGTGTAGCTTCATTTGTTCTTCACAACAGGCCTCTGGGTCAGGCAGGGCATATGTTAGTCCAGTTTATTAATGGGGTCCTGAGGCTTATGCCAGAGGGTAATGGAATGGGGTCAGAACTCAGGTCTCGCTGGTCCTAACCCCCTTCCCACAGGGAGCCACAACCCCAGGCCTGTGCTTCCTCCGCGGTCGGCCGCAGGAGGGGCCTGGTGTGTGTGTGAGCGTGCCTGTGGTGCCATACTGCCGAGGAAGGGGAGGGGGCTGGCAGCTTCTGACTTTTTCTCCTTTTGGAAGCTTTAGGTGCCACTCCCGGGAGAGCCAGATAGCCATGGTGTGTCGGCAGGAGTTTTCTCAGGACGAGACCTACGACGTGCAGAGGGGTGACGACGCGGAGTACTGCAGCGAGCCCAGCCTGGTCTCCACAGACAAGTGAGCCCTGGGCCGGGGCCGCGGCCGGCCCGCGTGTGCGGAGGGTCTGGGTGGAAGGCAGGCCCTGGTCCCTCCTCTGCGGGAGATCTGGAAGGGGAAAGAGGTCACATGTCAGAAGAGCACCTGCAAAGCACCTGTCACCTCGTTAGGGCAGAAGCCCTAGACCCACACAGACACACACAATCCCAGGTTGGCTTGGCCCTCCTCACAATTCAGTGCTTTCAGGGGGAAAAAAAAATTCCAAACACTGTTTCTTAAGTTGTTTTCAGTGCAACCAACTAATAAATATATGTTACAGTGAGACTCAGTCACACACAGACATGTATTGAAACATTAAACAAATGTCTGTGAGACTACTTATAATAAAGCTGCCCAGCAGAGGGCACTGTTGGCAAATGGGAGCTGAGATTTTTGTCAGAGCTGGAATTTTTTAAGAGAAGGGTTTTTTTACTGGAGGTCAAGACCAATTAGGAGATTGGGACATTTACTTCATTCAGCACTTTTAAAAGAAAGTTTAGCATATCGTAGCACAGACTAGGATAAAATAAGAGGATGTGAAATAACACATCCAATGTCACAAAGCTAAGTATCATTTTGTGAAACATTTGTTTGATTGCCAGTGTATGTGAGTGCAGAGTCCCATAAAATGTATTTATGAGTGTGGGTTGCATTAAAAACGTTTAAGATGCATTGTTTTAAAGGCTTTCCTGAAAGCACTTTATAATAAAGAAGGGCCGTTAGATTTTTAGAGAATGCAAATTAATACATGGTCACATAGTTTGAAATCAGGAAAATGCTTCCATCTGTTTTGGCTCCTATCGGGTGCTCTGCTAGATCATGGATATACTGGCCTCCGCACTCAAGGAGAGTCTGCAAACTCGTTAGAAGCTAAGACGATCTCCGAAGAGGAAAATAACACAGAGATTTTCTAACTAATTGCTCACAGAGTCGCACAACTGTGAGAAGTACAGGCATTCTGAAAAGGTCAATGTCAAGGCGACCATAGGGTGCCAGGCACAAGGTCAAACAGAAGCAGGGTCCTCGAGAACGGGTACGATTTGGGTCAGAAGAGAACATAACAGGGAGGGCTTACCAAGCTGGGAACGAGAGGCAGGGCTTAGAGGTTTTGGTTCAAAAACGTCCCTGCACACCTGCCAATGCTGGAAGTCAGCGAGCTAGGAGCAGAGGCGCACGGTCTCTGCCTCCGGGGACACGGGGCCCACAGGAGCAGAGTCGGTGGCCTCCTCGGTGAAAGGACAAGGACGGGCCAGAGTGTAACCTGGGAGCGACGGCTGAGTCCACAAGGGGTAGTGAAGTCAACGTAGTGGCCTGGAACTGATGCTTTAAAAGAAATAGGATGGACCAGAGTAGAAGGGAAACTCTCAGAGTGCCTCACAGTGAGTGTGGTTCCTGATGTTTAGTTCGGTCACGTGTGTGTCTGCACACTGGGACTGTGTGGGATACCGTTCCTGGGAGCCCCTCAGAAAGGCGTGGGAACCACTGACTGATGGCCCGGTCCGTGATGGCCTGCTGTCCGCAGGGTGATTGTGGTGCCCTGGCTGATGCAGGGGAGGGCAGGCCGGGGAGAAGGGGGTGGGAGCTGGGGTGAAGTCATGGTAAAGAGCATCAGCATGTGGGAGAGAGGAGCCCGGGCCATGCCTGGGAAGAACCTTGTGGGCCTAGAACTTCTTCCCAATTTTCTCAACCACTTTCACCCAAGAGTACCCTCATGCCTCCCATCAGAGGTGCGGGGCTCAGAGTTGACGGGCTGCATGTGAGCTTTGTGATGCCGGAGAGCAGGGCCCTGGGTGGCGCGTCCCTGCCGCCCCTCTCCAAACCTTCCTGGGAGCACAACGTGGGGCTCCCTTCCCTGAGGAGCAAAGGGAATGCCTTCTGGGTTGGCAGCTGCCCTGTGGGGTGCCTGTCTCAGCCTCCAGGAGCAAGCCCCAGGAGTTCTCTGTTCCAGGCTCTCCTACCAGGATGAGGAAAGCCGGCAGTTGGCACCGCCAGAGGACAGGAGGGACACCCGGCAATCTCCAAAGAGGGGCTTCCTCCGCTCGGCCTCCCTGGGTAAGCCGCCACCACCTCGCTCTCCGATGTGGAGCCAGGGGCACCCCCAAATGACTGGTCAGCCACCCAGGGTGACAGAGACCATGGTGGCCTGACTGCAGCAATCCTAGACAGTAGGCTGGACAGATTTCCAAAGTGACGAGAGGGAATCCCAAGGGCAGGGCTTGTTGGCTTCGGACTTGGACTTAGGCTGCGTGGTGTGTGGCAGGGGAAGCTGAAGGGTAAAGAGGAGGTGTATACAGACCTTTCCCCTCCCTGGGCCCGAATCGGCCCAGACCCGGGCTCCTTTCCCTGCTCTGATCCGGTTCTTTGGCTCCCTTGCAGGTCGGAGGGCCTCCTTCCACCTAGAATGTCTGAAGCGACAGAAGAATCAAGGGGGAGACATCTCTCAGAAGACAGTCCTGCCCTTGCATCTGGTTCATCACCAGGTAGCCCACACTTCGGCCACTGGCCACCCCCAGTAGGCTAGGCAAAGTCCCCGAGTCACCAGTCTTCCCTTTCTCACACCACTGCTGCATCCCCACCCGCCTGGCAGCCCCAGGGGCGGGGCTTTTCCTACCCAAATGAGAGCCTTACCAAGTCTGCCATTTCCCAAGGCGGAGACCTAGAAAATACTGGCAAGCAGGAGCTCCCCACGGTCCCCAGATTCCGCCTGAGCTTTCTTCTTACAGTAGCACAGGTGTCGCCCACCCCCAAGACATTGGCTTACACCACTCAAGCAGATGTGGTTCTACCTAGAGTTGCTAGACACCTGGAAATTGAGCGGCACACAAATCCATCCACTGAAATACAGAAATGATCAGAGAACCAGCCAGCTACATGGTCAGGAGAAGGAAGTGATTTCCCAGGAAAATGGGTTCAGGGAGAGTTGACTGTTGACATTTTTTTTTTCTTCTTTTTTTAGCACGGATGACTCTGCAGTGTAAAATCCAAAGCGCATCAAAAATGCTCTTAGTATCTCAGAACTAATGGAGTCCTCAAAGAATTATCTAAGGCAGTCTCTTACCTAAAGTTTTTACTTCTTTAATTATGCACTCCCTTACCACAGGCCTATGTTTTCCTTTTTTCTTTCTTTCTTTCTTTCTTTCTTTCTTTCTTTCTTTCTTTCTTTCTTTCTTTTTTTTTTTTTACAAAAACATTCAACTATTCAACTGCTGATTAAAGTTTATGATTTGCACTAGAGGCTCAGTGCACGAAATTAGTACACTGATGGTGGGGGGAGAGGGGGAGGTCCCTCAGCCTGGCCTGCGCCCTCTCACAGTCTGGAACCCCTCACTCCTTACTGCCCATATACTCGCTTCTCCTTACCACTCGGCTCACTGCTCCTTAGTGCTGCCATGGAGGTGAGAGATGCTCCCACCATCTCCTCTGTCCTTGCCAGCCACGAGCCCAGTTTCTGGAACAGGCAACTGGCCACCCCCCAGTAGGCTAGACAAAGTCCCCAAGACTTTGGAGGCACACTGACCACCAGGGGGCAGCTCCACCATTGAGCATCTGCCACCTGGTGGTCAGTGTGCATCATAGCAGCTGATCATTCTGGCCATTCCACCATAATGCTCACTTAGGCTTTTATTGTATAGAGAAGATGGCCAATGTGACTTGGCTAAGTTGACACTATTTCATCTTTTTTTTAAAAATGCACTACTTTGCTTAGCTTGTGTGGCATTGTCCAATTGCATACTCTCTCCCAGGGCCCAGGGCCCAGGCTGGGGACCATCAAGAGCAGTGGCCAAGGACATCTGGCAGGCGGGGAGGGAGGTGGGGGACACCATATGTGATAGTTTCAAGGGTTTCTGAAAGTTTATTTCACTCATCTGTTCGATCATTTTGGAAGGCAAGAAACTCCTCTTTATTTACTACCTTCCACCCACATGGCAATGCCCCTTCTCTCTGCCTCTCGGGGTGGGCTCTCCCCCACGCTGCCCTGTGGATGGCATTACAGCACCTCACATGGGGGCAGAGGACACAGCCATGTAAATTGGCAAGACATCATTACTGGCCAGATGGATTGTAACAACTGAAACAGTGCGCACTGGTTTTGGCCAGCTCTTTGGATGCACAGTGTGCTTTCCCGCAGACCCTCCTTCACTCGGACCTCACATCAGCCCAAAGGGCTGTGTGTGGCTGTGCAGGTGACACAGGCACATCCTCTCGGGTCAACTGACAAGGAAGCCAAAGGGGGAGAACTCACAGCTGACAGGGTGGGGCCAGTGCTGATGGGCAGGTGAACCTGCCAACTGTCACAACTTTTGGAATTTAGAGGAGACAGGGTTACTTCAGACTGAGGTCATCAGAAAATGCGTTTTAGGACAGTTTACGTTTACTCTGGGACTTGATGAGGTAGGATTCAGGTGGGTGACATGGTGGTGTATGAGCTCCAGGCAGCTGGGACCAGCTGCGAGCAGTAGCTGCTGAGAGGCCTGCCCCGGCCTGACCATTGGGTAACCCGTGCTCCTTGTGTGTCCACAGGCATTGGCAGTGGCGGGTCTCAGCCCCCTCCTCCAGAGAAGCCATTCCCCCACCACGTTCCCCCGGCCCTGTGCCACGCCCCCGGCCACGCCCAGCAGCCGCGGCTGGCCCCCGCAGCCCATCCCCACCCTCCGGCTGGAAGGAACCGAGTCCACCGAGAAGCTCAACAGCAGCTTCCCATCCGTCCACTGCGGCTCCTGGTCGGGGGAGCCCACGCCCTGCGAGGCGGGCAGCAGCGCCACGCGGAGAGCCCGGCCGGTGTCCCTCACTGTGCCCAGCCAGGCCGGGGCCTGGGGCCGGCAGTTCCACGGCAGCGCCAGCAGCCTGGTGGAAGCAGTAAGTGACCCCGAGCACGGCACAGGGGGAGGAAAGGCCCGAGGCAGCAGGGCACTTTGCATGGAGCATCAAGAAACGGGTCCCCGGCTCTCTCCCAAGTGGACTGGGTGTCAGTCTCCTGGCCTGAAAGGCCCTGAGTGTCAGGGGGAAGAAGGGGGGGGAGGTTTGGAAACCTATGACCAATTAAATGGGTATTTAAAAAAACAAAACAAACTCTTTGATGATTCTAATTCCCAGCCAGAGTTGAGAGCCTCTAGTCTAGACCAAGAGCACCTTCGGGTCCACCGTGCTCGGCCCTGGTCAGAGCACAATTGCAGTCCTGGCGCCATATCTCGGGGCACCTCTGGCAAACTGGAACAGTCCCGAAGGAGGATGACTGGGTGGCAGGGTCCCTAAAACCACCACTCTGTGTGAGAACTGGTTGAGGGGTTGGGAAAGGAAACCTAGAGAGGAGGTGACTAACGAAGCCCTGATACCCCGCGCTGGCCTGTTGGCACGTCCTCCTCCCACACACCAAAGGGCTGTGGGCTCACTCCCCAGTCAGGGTGCATATGGGAGGCAGTCAATTGATGTTTCTTTCTCATATCAGTGTTTCTCTCTCTCCCTCCCTTCCGCTCACTCTAAAAATAAAAACATATCCTCGGGTGAGGACCACAGTAAAGGAGCGCTGACCTGCATCTCAGTCCTGTGAGGCTTTGTGTCGTGGACAAGAGTCTTAAATGCAGCACCGGAGTGCCTGGGCCAGCCTGACAGGCAGGCTGTAGCTAACAGGCAATCTTCCTAAACCAGGGCTTTCCTGTGCAATTGGGAGCCCCGTCACTGACATGTGTAAGCAAAGGCGATGCCTGTCCAGTCACCAGGCTGCCGCAGGAGCTGGGCGCTAACCCAGGTGGCTTCCCACGTGCCGTCTGACTCAAAACCCTGTGCTTCAAGCGCCTGTGTTGCCCCTTATTAGACCGCACATCTCCACTGAAACCTGCCGTGTGTAGACTGTCCTAGGTGAGGGGCCACCTCTAAGGAATAGGGTGTCTGCTCTGATGAGCTCACATGCTGGTGAGGAAAGACAGATAATAAGCATGCAGGGCAGGGGTGGAGCGATGGAGAAAAATTAAAAAATACACAAGATAAAGAGTAATGGGGGGAGCAGGGCCTAGAGGACTTAGAGAAAAGTGTTTTGTGCTTCCCTCCACTGCTTCCCCTGCCCACTGGCCAGCCTCCAGGAAGGAGGGAGGAGTTTGGCTGTGCCCACTGGCCCTTCCTGGCAGAGGCAGCAGAGGAGGCAGGGGCAAGTGCGGTGTTTGCACACATCACACTCAGAATCCGCACCCACAGACAGGCAGCGGGCAGTGGGCAAAACAGTTTCACCAAAGGTGAATGAAGGCTTCTGGGAAAGAATAAAATGGGATGCCAGGGAGGAGAACAGCCAGGGCAGAGGGTAGAACCCACTGCTCTGAGACTACCCCCTGCAGCTCCTTGGTGAGCCAAGTGTTCACGTATTTGTGAGTTTTTGAGGACGCCAGCCTGAAGGTCTCTGCTCCAGCCTGTGCATCCGGAACCTCCCTCCTTTCCTCTGAGCACCCGGACACGCTCCTGCCCTCACTCGCGCACGCACTCCCGAAGTCTCCAGTCGAAGTCCTTTGCTCTAACCCTAAACAGAAGGGTTGAGCTGCAGGAATAATGTTCCTCTTTGATTTTTCCTCATGGCCCTCCCCCCTTCAGGTCTTGATTTCGGAAGGACTGGGGCAGTTTGCCCAAGACCCCAAGTTTATCGAGGTCACAACCCAGGAGCTGGCTGACGCCTGCGACATGACCATCGAGGAGATGGAGAGCGCCGCAGACAACATCCTCAGCGGGGGCGCCCAGCAGAGCCCCAACGGCACCCTATTACCTTTTGTTAACTGCAGGGACCAGGGGCAGGACGGAGCAGGGGGCGAGCAGCCCGGGCCCTGTGGGCCCAGCCAAGAGCCTCAGCAGAGCCAGGAGGAGCTGCAGGACAGCAGAGCCTATGTCAGCAGCCTGTAGGAGCTGGGCTGGGAGATGCTGGGTTTTTTATTTGTCTCAATGTTCCTAAAGGGTTCGTTTCAGAAGTGCCTCACTGTTCTCGTGACCTGGAGTTAACGGAACAGCGTCTTCATTCATTTCGTTGGGACAAGACACAGAGTTGGGTGGTATGGAGAGTCAGCTTTTGGGGGGAAGGAAAAGCAGCAACCCCAGTTTGTGTCCAAGGAGGTAGAGTGGTGAGGAGAAGGAAGAGGAGGAGGAAGAGGTGAAAGGGTCAGGGAGGGAGTGAGAGAAGGCCTCCTGCCCTCCTGTGGTTTGGCAAGCCCTGTGCCAGGAACCAGCCTTCACCTTGGGCACTGGAGAGACCCTCTCAGCTTCCTGTGGCAGCCCCCACCAAAAAGGACCTTTGTCAAACGGGTGTCTTTCAACTTTGCTTGTACAAAACTCATTTTGCACATATTGTGTACGAGCCTCACTGTCCCCATAGAGCCAGGGCCCTGTGGATCTGCAGAAGGAGGCAGGCGTGACTCCCACCCCACCCCTACCACAGAGGGAAGAGCCAGCAGCAGGGGGCCAGGAGCTGGGAGCCCGGAGGGAGGGCGCTCGGCAAGGAGGCAGCTGCCCCGCCCCCACTCCCAACCGCCCGCTGCCACCCACCTACATCAGGATCACCTTCCCCTCAGAGGAGACCAGCCCCAGCCCGGAAGTCCAGCCTGCGGCGAGGGGGGCGGCACTGCCCACAGGAAGGGGCAGCCAGCACTGGACAAAGCCAGGAGGAGCCGGTTCTGTTGAGCGCTCCTCTGTCCTGTGGTTTGACATTTCTCTTGACAGCATGTTGCAGTTTTCATTTTGTTGTTTGGGGTTTTTTACTTTATTTTCCTGGGAGGAGGGAGGAAGAGGAGTGTTTGCGAAGTTCAGTAGCCGCCCCCTCACTGTTTCCCTCTTGCAAATGTAAACCGGGTCTAGTTGGATGGTGTCATTAAACGGGTGTGGCTTCCTTTTCCTACCGAGGGTCCTGGCAGCCACGTGGGAGAGTTTTACCGGATGTTGTGTATGCCCAGTAACTGATATGGTTTCCGTAGGTAGTAAACATGGTTTTCGATTGGTTTTGTAATTTAAAGGTAATCAGCAATGCACTTCACAGGGTCTTGCACAGATGGGTGAGTGAGGGGTGAGGGGTTCTCTCTCAAGCTGGGTGTATGGGTGGCCGGAAGAGAGGAAGCGCGTTCGAGAGTCTCTGAGTGTGATCCGCATGTCGTGGGTTGTCTGTTTGCGTGTGTCAGCGTGTGTATGTGCGCCCACGCAGGGGCCTGCACCCTGTGAGCGTGCAGCGCCCCGTTTCTGGGTTAACTGGGGGGATCTGAATCCAGGGCCATTTGAGAGCAAAAACAAATCACTGTCTCTGCTTCTGAAACAGGAATCAGTAACTTTGCATTTTCTGTCCCACAAGATATGCAAAAACAATGCAATAATATTCATTTTAAAAATACAATTGTGAGTCTTGTTGGCATTAAAACTGTATTTTAAAAAAACACAGAAATTTAAGGAAAAACTCAAGAAGGTGTTTTGCTTCTATATATTCCGTGTAATGTTTTATTGCATTGATAATGTTTCTGTTGAAGAAACCGTTATACTTGAATTCAGGTCAGTTTCAGTATTTTACAATTATTTTTTTAAAATTGAATTGCAATTGTGCCAAGCGAATATAATGAATTAAGTTTGTTTTTGAATTCACCTCTTGTATATTTTGCTGCATGTAAGTAAATCATTTTGTATTTGGAGTGTGACAAGCTTTACCTTTGAACTCTTAAGTGCTTTTCTATGTGTGGTTGGGGGAAGGGAGGCTTTTTTTTTTTTTTAGTTTGTACAATGAGCAAAGGTTTCACCAGTGTAAACCATTATTCTGCTACCCACCAACAGGTTTGGACATTACTGTTTTGCATATCTTGTGTTTGCTTCTGTTTCCCTCAACTTTCCCAAAACTATATGACAGACATATTTGTACTACATCTCATTTGAGAGACCAGGCCATATCTCACTCCAATCGTCACTCCATCTACTCTGCACCAGCTCTCTGTTTGGGTATTTCTCTGGGAACAGCCCTTGCTGTGAGGGGTCGTGAGGCATTCTGACTGGCTCTGTCCTCACTGCGCTAGCCTCTACATACCCCAAAGGAGAGGAGGGGTGGCTGACTTTCCACTCCCACAGCAGTTTGCTCAATGGTTTTTCAGAAAAGTATCCACTGACCAAGAGGACAGGAGGAGAGTTGGGCTGGCAGGAGGGGAAGGACATCCTGGCTCTGGCAACTGGTCTACCCAAACTCAGACAGCAGGGCCTAGAAAAAATGTGTGTCCTTCCAAAAGTCAGCTCTGTCTTGCTCGTCTCTCCATCTTTTCTTCATTCTGGGACAGGACTTCCTGCCGAGCCCCGTGGTGTGTGTGGCAGCTGTGCAGGGGACCTCACATAAGAGATGCAGCATCAGGGGCTCACAGGGGTGGTGGAACCAGGGGTTTTGTGGGAGCTTCTCTCATGCCAGTTTGCATCACCCTATGATGCTGCCCTCTGAGTATATTCCAGGAGTGATGGTCAAAAAGGGGTGGCTTGGGGGAAACAGGACTCAACCGTTCATCTGGCCTTTACCCATCGGATCTCTTCCAGTCCATGTGCTCTCAGCCTTCTTGGCACTTAGATACGCAAACTAGATGTTCAAGTTGGGAAAGTCCATTCCTCAATGAAGATGAGCTTTGTTTCCATGAACTGATTCATGAACACATGGAGAAATGGGCCAGGAGCTCCCAGTTTAATTCTAGTCTAAAACCAGAAGAGTTTCTTCCCGTTTCTCCAAGCCCAACCCATCCAAACTTTCTTGATTCCATCTCAGTGCCATTAACGTCTTCTAGACTTTAGGTTTAGGGGTTACCCTGTGTCTAGTTTCCCAAAATGCCTGCCACTGTGCCCCTAAGATGTCAGTTATGATAGAGAAGGGAGCCCTTTTAGATTGATATCTGGTTCTTACTGTACACTTGATCCCTAGATAAAATTTGGAATATTAATTCACACACACATATACACACACACACACACACACACACACCCTTTTCATGCTGCACTCTATTTTTTTCCTTTTGGACTTTTCATCTGCATCGCCACAGCTCATTGGCCAGCAGCATGAGCCACAGGCTGGCTTGTTCCAGCTACTCCCAGGGCCCTGCCTAAGTATGGCCCCTTGTTTTTCTCCACTTTCCCCAAAGGCTCCCTTCTTTACAGTCCACTTTGTTCAGAAGACCAGCTGGCCTTTCTCCCTGCCCCATGAGACCAGTGCCAGCATCAGCCGTAACCAGGGCACCTTGCCCTGCGCTGCTGTGAAGGAAAGGAGCTTCAGAGGACAGCGCCCAGTCTAGGGTCTTTCTGAACCTGACCTCATGCTGGACTCGTGCAGGATGGACATTTGGTGCCTGCCATCATCACAGACTAGTAAAATCTGTTGTGAAAGCAATGACCCTCATCCACCGTATGCTGGCTGATGTAGAACTTTCCCCATGACCTTGTGAAGCAAAGTGGTAGAATCTTCTGAAAACCTTGGGGCAGCAAGAGAAAAGCAGACAGTGCTGAGTGAGGACTGGAAGGGCCTCTTAAGTTCTGGGTTTGGGTGCACTTTGTTTTTATTTTCTTCTGATTAGCCCAGCCTTTTTTATATCCAGACCTTGGTCCATTACCAATTATTACTCGTGTGCATGGCTCCGTTAAGCAGAGGGGTTAGAAGATTCTTTTGGGTCTGGAGGTAAAAGGAGACTTTTCCCCTAGATTTTGGCTTGATTCATGAATTTTTCTCTGCTTTGCTTTAGAAGCTATTAGTTACAGTCCCTTCCTCAGCCTCTAGTCTGATAGACATCCCTCTGGACAAAGGAGCAAGACTTCCTTACTCAGTCTCCTTCTCCTCTGAGCCCTGCTCTCCAGTCTCAGGAGGTTGTTTGCAGTGCAACTGCCTGTCACTTCCGCATGGCCATGGCCTTGGGATCCTGCTTAGCCTGCTCTGGGCATAGTCGGCAACCAGGGGAGAAGTGTGCCTCACTACCTCAGCAATGACTTTCTGAGAAATAAGCACCTGAAGAGGAGGAGTTTGGAAGTCACCAAAAGGGTGATGGTTGTTTTACAGAGGCCCGTCCTTCCTAAAGGCCAAGGAATAGAACGAGAACTTGAATTAGGCCTAAGGAGCCCAGGCAGTCAGCGTTTTAGCCAGAATCAGACCTGTTGCTAAGGAAGATGACAGCCTCCATCCCTACCAGGCCCGGAGAATTGAAATATCATCATCTAAGTGTTAGAAGCAGTTTAGCAAAGAGACCAAGAGAAAGGGCAGCTGGTTTTAGAAGGACCTCTTTCCACGCCAGGGGAGTAAAAAACGTGCTGATAGAGGCCAGGCCAGTTCCGATTTTAAAGACATGGCTCTGGACTGGGGAGAGTGTAAGCACAGAGAGAACTGGAGGAGAAATGGGGCAAAGGGGCATGTTTTGACTTCCTGTGTCTGTTCCCATGTTATGGAAAGAAGTGTCCAATTCGGCCACTCACAATGGCCACAGAGAGGCCCATGTCTTGAGGATCTACAGTGGAAGAAGATAAAAGTAGAAATTTTTTTCTCACATTGTTTCCCAACCAAATCAAAGTAATCTGGCTAGATGTGGGGTGCCTGTCACCCTGTCCTTCCCTCTCTGCAGATGTCCCCACCCTCGTGTTAGCCAGTGCACTACTGAAGCAAGCCCCAGTCAGAGGCAGGGGTGAGACTCGCAGTCACCACCGCCCAGCTTCTCCAGCACACAGCTGAGGAGGCATGAGGGAAGGCGGTGAGGGAAGGATGTGTCCTGCAACTGTTGGGGGCTCTGTCCCCTTCCCTACGCAGCTCTCTCTGTTTCAGCCTCCTGTCCCAACCCCCTAGGCCCTCTTCTCCCCCCCTCCCCACAAGTCTATTGAGACAGAATAAAAGGAGTCCCGAGAGCAATTCTCACATAGTTTTTTTGTGAAGCCATTTCTGGTGTTCACTTTATTTATTTATTTATTTGTGTATTTATTTATTTATTTTTCAAAGCAATGAAGCCAGATACCAACACAACAGGCAAACGGATGCCTGCCGGGTTTCCACATTGTCGGGAAGACATTTGAACACGTACACATACATACACAAATACACATACACACACAAATATACTCACACACTCATATACTCACACACTCATATACTCACACACATATACACTCACACACACACCAATATCCTTGAGGGACAAGTGCTGGTGCCAGGGCTGAGCGCTAGACAATGATTTGTCTCTGCCCAGAAGGGGAGAGGGTGGAAATAGTGCCATCTGAACCTAACATGACTGGGAATGTAAACATCTTAATTCATCTACGCTAGGAAAATGCTGCTCCTCCTAGAATCAAGACCTCTTCCTCACAGGATTTTAAGAGGCTCAGCTCCCATCAGCTGAGGGGAAAGACCTCTGCTTTTTGGTGGATTGGGAAAGCACGGACTCTGTCTCTGGAAGGGAACTCAAGACCACGCTAGACTCTCCCTTCTAAGTTAAACTCACAACCAAGAGTAGAGGCAGAGTTACGATTGTTCTCTACTAAATTAAGGAAGACAACGACTGTATAATTAAACAAAAGCTTGAAGTGTCACACCACCAGAGTCAAATATCCTTCACTCCAAGGATGCTGGCCTTTTCACAGGTGTGCTCCCTGCTGTGGGCAGCCCATGCTCCTTGTTTTCAGAATCTAAATCATCTCATTTGTATCAGGCTCCTAGAAAGGGCCATGACACTTAATAACCATGAATTGGTCATTTGCTACACATCTACCATCTAAAAGTCACTCGCACGACTCATAAATAGGAAAATGCCATTATCAAACACAAAGTCCTTGGAGGGAAAAGTGAGGTGATTTCTATGTGAGGAAATACAGAAACGGACAGAATAATTCCTGTTCACAGTTTGGGCCTGAGAACTCGTGCTCTGATGTTTGCACCACCCTCGTGTTTAGAAGCTGGGAGTGAGGAACGGGTGAGCAGACATCAGCCTTGGCAGTGGCGCTGCTACAGGAGCCTGAGGACTGCACATTTCAAAGCCCCTCCCCCTTCCTACCCCCAGGAAGTCCCCCGAGCCTGCAGCCGGAGGAGAGGAGAGAAGGCCACTTGCTATAGAGCCACAGGAAGAAGTAGAGGATGCGCACTGAGCCCTGGCCCAACCCCTTCCTCTAAGGACTCCCAACATGGAGAAACTTACTGAGGCTTGAAAGGAGAAAACAAAACTTGAAAGCCACGGATAGATGGCATTAAGCCAATAATCCTGTGCAAAGGGCTCCTTCAGAAGGCAACTCAACGCTGTGGGCGCCTCTCTGCCTGCTCAAGCCACACATCACACATTGGCCACGTCCATTCCCCACACGTGGACTCCATCTCTGACTCCCCACCCAGGATATGCACCACCCAGGGCATAGCTGGTCTCCCTGTGCCTGGGGGAACAGGGCCTAGCACACAAGTAGGCTGTGGGTGTCAAAGGCATACACAGGATTTGCAGCCTGGGATGGAAAAACACACACATTTATTAAGAAATAGGGTGGCAGGTCCCCAGTTGGTGAACCACTGGAAAGTCTATTACTCTCATAATTTTCCCATTTTATTTTAATCCCAGCGGTACCAAGCAAGACTTCCCTTCATGTAAGGAGCTCCAGGTCCAGCCCGCCCATCCATCCCTCTTCTCCTCACATCCTCCATCCTCTCGCTCAGGCCAACCTTCATACCCCCAAACCAAGCTGTGTCATGCTTGTTCTCAGAGAGATGCAGAAAGATGGACAGTGCCTCCATGGTCACCCCAATGCCTGTCATCACCCCCGCACATCTGCACACCCCACCCCTTCCCCTCCAGGCTCCACGGATTTGCAGTCTTACTATTGTAAATACTGTTGTACAGTTTGTAATCATCAAATAATCCCGTTGTCAGAGGCCTCGCCTGCTGCGCCTTCTCGCCCTTGAGAAAGGCCAGGGAATCTACAAGGGGCGACCTTTCCAGAAGAGCTTCAGGGTGATGATCTCTGTGTGAGACGCTATGTATATTCCTGTAAGATTGCATTTTTATCTGAGGAATAATGTTATTTAAAAAAGCAAAAACAAAAACAAAAAAATAAGAATTGCAAATAAATTTCTTAAAAACATCTACACTGGTGTGTTGTATCTTCCCTCTTCTATATTCCTTCTCTTCTCTTGTTTCCTAGAGGTCACGAAATATACTTACCTCTCAAATTACCATCTTATTCTCCAAAGAGGAGAGGGTTGTGGAGAACATGGGAAACCGGAATATGATGGAAATCTCTAACCTTATTTCTGGGTGGATCTCTTCCTCCCAATGAAAGGGTTAACAGGAAAATGTTCAAAAGTTGACAAGACAGAAACGGAAGGATTAAATGGATAATCCACAAAATAGAAGAGGTGTCCCCCCAAATATTTGGAAAGGCACAAAATTGGTTTTTGAATGAATGAAAGGAAGAAGAGTGGAAGGAAAGAGGGAAGGAAGGAGGAAGGGAGGGAAGGAGGGAGGAAGGGAAGGAGGGACGGATGGGGGAGGGAGGAAGGGAAGGAGGGAGGGAACATATTCAAGACCTACCCTAGGATGAAGTTACTCTATCTTGGATGTGGCTATGCCTTCTTGAATGGCAGTAAAAGGAGAGGAGGTACAGCTGGGGGCAGAATTAAACAAAACCAAGGGCGCATGTCACCAAGGAAGTCATCCCTTGTGTGTGTGTGTGTGTGTGTGTGTGGCGGGGGGAGAGGGGGCTCACTTTTGCTTTCTAATTTGGTGTCAACTATTAGGTCTGGCCTGACCTTCAACCTCTCTCCCAACATTATATCTGCTTCTGCCCATCTCTCCCTTTCTCCCCTCAAGGGAACATGGTAATTTATCTGGTTGGTTAGAGCAGTGGTCAGCAAACTCATTAATCAACAGAGCCAAATATCAACAGTATAACAATAGAAATTTCTTTTGAGAGTCAAAAACAGACTTCTGCGCATGGGCCACGAAGTTTCAATCACACTGTATGTGCACTCCCGCACATGGTATTTTGTGGAAAAGCCACACTCAAGGGGTCAAAGAGCCACATGTGGCTCGAGAGCCGCAGTTTGCCGACAACTTGGTTAAAGTATTAGATATTAATTGGGCCACAGTTACTAATAGGCTGATTACTGCATGGTCAAAAGTCCATATATAGTGCTAGCTGGTTTGCTCAATAATTGTTGGCCCAAGGACTGAAAGATACATAGGTATTTGGTTGCAGGCTCAATCCTCAGCCCCATCAGGGAGCATGCAGGAGGCAACCAATCTATAATATGTGTCATTCTCACATCTATGTTTCTCTCTGTGTCTCTCTCCTCCCTTCTAATCTCTCCAATCAATGGGGGGGGGGGGATATCCTCTGGTGAGGATTAATAACAACAAAAAGTCAATATACATACATGACACTCTCTTGTACTTTATTTTTCCTGCTTCTTTATAGTAAGCAGAATGAAGGATTCTTTCTCTATATCTCTGCCTCTTTCTTTCTCTCTCCCTGATTCCATATGGCTTGCCAGCCACCTGGGCTCAGAAGTTGCTCAATCTCCTGCTCTTCACAAACACATTTAGAGACATCAGCCCCAGAATTTTGGCTGCGGGAAGTGGGGGAGTAAAAGACCCTAAACTGACGATATGAGCCAAAATGATGGGGTCCACACCAGCCTTCACAGAGCCCCACACTGTACATTGTTAGACATTATTCCGGCTAACAATAAAATAGCACTGGTATTTGTAATTGGCTACAATTGCATTTATACGATTTCCCAGGGAATCCTACAGGGAGGAGAGGCAGAGCAGGACCTGCACTCTTGAATAGCTTAAGTAGCATCCAAATCCCATGTTACCCCATCAAATAGGTTGGCCATCTAGCCCAGGTGCTCAATGAGGCCTCTCACATACAGCTCCACTGGCCAGATGGTGCTCATCTCAGTAGCCCTTGCAGACCGGCTCCAGCTGCTGATGCCCTCCAGTGAGTTCTCCACTGCCCCGCAGGCCATGTTTTGGACCAGCCTGGCCCACGCCCTCTGGCAAGTCTCCTTAGCAGCGGCAGGCATTCAGCAATGTGTGCCCCTGGGGCAGCCAGGCCCCTCCAAGGAGGTCTGAGTCAGCCTTGAAGTGAATGGTGGGGAGAGCTTTTCTAAGTTCTTAGTTCGTGATTTCCTCTTCCTGGGCCCTAGAAGCAATAACTGTTTTTTTACTTACTGCTTCTAGTTTGCTAGTCACCGTTTATAAGTTACAACTCTTTAGATTGTTTTCTGTTCAAATAACTGGTGTGGTGTCTGTCTCCTGATTGGGCCCTGACAGAGAACTGGTGCTGGGAGTAGTCTGAAGAGACAGACACTCAGAGTTGGGATTTGAGAGTGGATTTGGTCTCCTGTCTGGGCCTGAGTGCAGAGCAGAGCTCCTGGCCAATAGGAAATTGGATGCCAGCTATTCCTGATATACAGTGAAGTGCTAATTAATTAAAGTATTAACTGTGATTGGTTGTGATGAAGTGCTAATTAAAACAAATGCCTTGGGAGCCCAAGTGGCTGCTATACATGGTTGTCATTGACTTTCCTGAGTACATTGCAGACAATACCAGAAAGAAAGACAAGCTCAAGATTATAGTCTGAGAATCAGAGAGCTTCCGTGGAAATCCTATTATAGCCTCTTTATTTCTTGTAACCAACCACAGGGCTAATAATGAAAAATATCAAAATTACAATAAAAAATGCAGGTATTTAAAATTTTGCTTTAAGAAAGATAGTAAATTACATAGAATTGGTTTTAAGAATAACATTTCTGATACAGAAGGGAGGATCCAAGATAGCTGCACAGGTAAACACCTAACCGCAGCCACACACAACAATTTCAATAAAATACAACTAAAATATAAAATGGACATTACCCAGAACTACAGGAAAATCAACTAACTGGAAATTCTAAAACAAGAAGGAAAGAGAAAACCAGAAGGAAAAGCAGAGGAGCTGTAAAAGCCCAAGGTAGGGAGACACTTTGTGCACACAGAGAGGACGGAGCCAGAGAGGAGGGGAGGCTGAGTGCCTGGCTGGCATTCCCTAGCGGGAAAGAGATAAAAGCTCCGGACTGTGCTGAACCCCAGATCCGACAGCACTAAACCTCAGTTCTAGGCCAGACTCTGGGGACCCAGGATCATACAGAGGGAGCCTGGGCTGTGAGGCGGAATCTCAGGGGAGCAGCGAAAGGCAGAGCCCCCAGAGGTGTGCACATTACGCGCAGAGGACTGACTGTTGACTCTGCTGCTAGACTGCCCTAGTGGGAAGGAGACAAAAGCTCTGGACTGTGCTGGGCCCCAGTTTTGACTGCACTGAGCCCCAGTACTGGGCCAGACCCCAGGACCCAGGCTCATACAGAGGGAGCCTGGGCTGAAAGGCGGAAACCTGGGGGAGCCGCGAAAGGAGGTCCCAGAGGTGCACACATTGCACGCAGAGAACGGACGGTTGGCTGTGCCGCTGGATTGCCCTAGCGAGAGGGAGACAAAAGCTCCAGACTGCTCTGAACCCCACTTCCAACCCCACTTCCAACTGAACTGAACCCCAGTTCCAGGCTCATTGGGGGAGAGCCTAGACTGTTTGGTGGTGGGCGAAACTCGAGGGTGCCTTTCTCTCAGAGGTGCTTGTGGCGAGTATCAAAGGACACTGAGGAACACTGAGACTCATGAGCCTCATAGGGTGGGGCTGACGGAAGCCAAGGCTGTAGGCTCCATCCTGAAACTCCGCCCCATCCAAGCTGAACACAGAGACTTTTAAGGCTACCAACTCAGGGAAGATGTGAAAATGCCGAGACAAGGAAACAGATCACAAACAAAGGACAAAAAACGACTGGATATAGAGTTGAAAACCACGCTTATAAGGTTTTTCAAGAATTTCCTAGAAAAGGCCGATAAGACCTATGAGGATATGAAAAGGGATCAACTAGGCCGGGACCGGTTTGGCTTAATGCACATGTGTCAAACACAAGGCCCGAGGGCCAAATCCGTCCCGCCAGGCCTTGCAATGTGGCCCGCACCGCGCTGTCATCACTGCACTTCGCTGCGTTTCCATCACAATGACACTTTATGATGGTTCAGTAAACCATTCGGCCCGTGATTTAGGCTGGATTTTAGATTTTGGCCCCTTCTCTGATTGAGTTCGACACCCCTAGCTTAATGGATAGAGCGTCTGCTTGGGGACTGAAGGTCCTGGGTTCGATTCCGATCAAGGGCATGTACCTTGGTTGCGGGCATATTCCCAGTAGGGGTGTGCAAGAGGCAGCTGATCGATGACTCTCTCTCATCGATGTTTCTAACTCTCTATCTCTCTCCATTCCTCTCTGTACAAAATTAATAAAATATTTAACAAAAAAAAAGAAAAGGGGTCAACTAGAAATAATAAGGGATCAACAAAAAATAATAAGGGATCAACAAGAAATAATAATGGATCAACAAGAAATAATGAGGGATCAACAAGAAATAAAGAATACATTGTCTGAAATAAAAAATATTATACAGAGTCCTAAAAGCAGAATGGAAGATCATAAGAATCAAGTCAAAGATGTGGAACATAAAGAGCCAGAAGACACTCCTCCACAGAAGCAAGAAGACAAGAGAATCCAGAAAGTTGAAGATAATGTAAGAAACCTTGGGACAACTTCAAGCAAACCAACATCAGAATTATGGGCATCCCAGAAGATGAGAGAGAGCAAGACACCGAAAACATACTGAAAGAAATAGTGACAGGAAACTTCCCCCACCTGGTGAAAGAATTAAACTTACAAGTCCAGGAAGCACACAGAACCCCAAACAAAAGGAACTCAAAGAGGACCACACCAAGACAAATCATAATTAAAATCCCAAGAGCAAAAGACAAAGAGGAAATATTAAAAGCAGCAAGAGCAAAGCAGGTAGTTACCTATAAAGGAGCACCCATACCATTGTCAGCTGATTTCTCAACAGAAATCATGCAGGCCAGACGGGAATGGCAAGAAATATTCAAGGTGATGAATAGCAAGAATCTATAGCCAAAAATAATCTACTCAGCAAAGCTATCACTCAGAATCGATGGCCAGATAAAGAGCTTCACTGATTAAAAAAAAAAGCTAAAGGAGTT